AAAGACACTGTTTAACTGACACATCTGTGTCAAAACAACAGATAACCTTGCTGAAAGTACAGTTGCACCGTGATGTTGTCGTTTGGTTTTCCTGTTTATTGATAATATCAGCTTCCAAGGTGAATTTTGATTTTGTAAGAATGTGTCTCATATTTTCAAAAACGTCATGAGAACAGACGTGACCCCACAGTGACACTAAAAATTGTCAAGAAACAGTTACCATTTTTTAAATGATGGTTAGAACATTTATTACAAAATACTCAGTTATACTTCATGATATATTGTCTACAATAATCCATTTTTTTAGACAATAAGAATAACAGTGTATATACTACCATGTATTAGTGTTTCATTAATGTTATTTTTACACCTGTTTATTTAATAACCCCAAAGCAAATACAGCATACACAAAAAATGTCTTGTGATAATTTAAGGTCAAATGCTTTCTACAAATGTATAGGTTTGATGGGTTTTGGCCATTATTGTTCTGGTTACAGTAGTCAACATTTTTCTAGCATTGATCATACAAATTTTGAAACCTTGAAAATTAATTGCTTTAGATTAATTTAATAGAAGAAAGTTTTTATGAACACTTGCATTGTTGTACTTCAGTTGCTTACACAATAATAACTTTATTGCATCTTTAGTAATATACATTTTTCTATTAGTAAATAGCAATAAAAAAAAACGAAAAAAATAAAAACACTGAAATAAAACTAATCAAAGAAAGCTTAGAAAGAACTCCCGTGTGCTGAGAGTTTTGGAGACACATTAAAAATTAATTCAAAATTACTTATACTTGAGATATTGATGGAAGAGCTGAAAACTAATTATGCAAATAAAGTAACTAATATGAACAGATTTAAGTGTAAAACTAATAAGGTCTGCACAATGTACCAAGTTTCATTGAAATGTGATTAGAACCAAAAAAATATTAGTTATTATGCTAATTAGAGAATTAATATGAACAGATTTTAACCCAAAATTAATCAGGCTGTCTATTGTCCTAGACCATTTATGGACCAAGTTTTATTCAAATGTGATGACCAATACTTGAGATATCAGTATTAATTAATTATGTTAATTAGGTGATTAAGAAGCATAAATATTTACCAAAAACTAATATGGTGCATAGTCTTAGGTTCATTGAAATCCAATGAGTGGTTTTTAGACATCAGTGCAACAGCCATAGAACAGCAAAAAATTAACTAATTATGCAAATTAGGTAATTAATAGGCACAATTATTTATCCCAAAATTAATCAGGTCTCTGCATAGTCCTAGTATATCTATGTCGCAAGTCTCATTGAAATGTGATGATTAGTACTTGAGATATCAGGTGAAAAGCTGAAAATTAACTAATTATGCTAATAAGATGATTAATATGCACAAATATTTACCCAAAAACTAATTAGGTCGCTGCACAGTCCTCAAGTAACTACGGTATGTACCAAGTTTCATTGAAACATGGTCATTACTACTCGAAATATCAAAAGCTGAAAATTAATTAATTATGCAAATTAGGTAATTAATATGTACTGATATTACCCTAAAAACTATCAGGTCTGTGCAGTGTCATATGACACCTATGTACCAAGTTTTATTGAAATGTTATGATTAGTACTTGAGATATCAGTGGAAAAGTCGAAAATTGATTAATCATTATGTAAATTAGGTAATTAATAATATTAACAGATTTTTACTCAAAACTAATCAAATCTGCATCCATGTGCCAAGTTTCATTGAAATCCAATGAGTGGTTCTTCAAAAATCAGTGGAACAGTCATAGAACAGCTTAAAATCAGTTAATTATCATGCAAATTAGGTAATTAATATTCATAGATTTTTACCCAAAACTAATCAAATCTGCGCACTAGTTCAGAGCATCCATGTGCCAAGTTTCATCAAAATCCAATGAGTGGTTCTTCATATATCAGTGGAACAGTCATGGAACAGCTAAAAATCAGCTAATTATCATGCAAATTAGGTAATTAATATTCATAGATTTTTACCAAAACCTAATCAACTCTGCGCATTATCCCAGAGCATCTATGTACCAAGTTTCACCAAAATTTGATTAGTGGTTCTTGAGATAACGGTGGAACATCTCTTTGTCGTTAGTTGTTCCAGTTAGTGTGGAGTTATCAGTCTCAGCAATATCTGTTTCACTAATCAGCACACCTGTTGCAGTTACCATGGGTACAGTTAAGTTGTCAGTATTGGCGTTATTTTTAGTATCTTCATTAGCATTACAATCGTCTATGCACACGTCAAGTCTTTTGTCTTTCCCTGGAAGTGTGTCAATCGAGTTGTTTTCAATTTCAATAGTGTTCATTTCTAGTGATTGATTTACATCGTTACATTGTGACTGGTTTTTATTTTCTTCAGTATCCACTAAATGATCCGTGGGTATTACAACATTGTCCTTAAGAATATCTTGTGATTCATTTGCGTTTTCATTACTTTCCACTGCAATCTGGCTGTCAACTGTTGGAGTTTGTTTTGTTCTTGAGTTGTCTTTACAATTTCGTTTAATGTGACATTTTTTGTTGCATCTATAACATGTAACATCATCAGTTGATAA